TAACGGGTACTTTCATGAAATTGAAAAAACTTCTCCAAAAAGATGTGAAGCTTGAACTGAATGCAATTACCCTTTCTGATTACTGGAGCCATGATCTCATTCCACGGGGATTACGTATTAGAAAATTTCCTGCCCATAGCATGGACAATAAGGAATTTACTGAGAAATGGGAGGCTATCCTTAACAAATGTTCACTAGACTTAATGTTACTATTGATTGAAGAATCCAAAAAAGATAGACTAAAGGTTCAATAGGAGATAAATGAAATTAGAAACCAACTTGAAAATAATGCAGTGACTGAAGAAAAAGAAAATTTGGAAGTCCAATTACAGGATGAACTGCTTAAATTTACTGAAAATGTAAAGAAACAGAAGGTGGACAAATTTAAGAGAGATAAAAAGGATTATAATGATGGAAGGGTTTACACCTGGAAAAGACCAACACGTAATAAGCAGAGAGGATTGTCAGAAAAGAGAACACAGCGCACCGAACTTTCAGTCTCTTTTAACTTTACCAGTAGTGATGATAATTACCTTTCTGATAGTAGAGCTGATTCCAGCAGTTTTTTACAGTCACAGCCCAAACCAATAATGAACCATTCAAGAGCAAGAGAAAGAAAGAAGACAGTTAAACAATCAACGGCGTCCGAGTACATGCAGTCTTACCAAAAGGACACTGTAGTGAATTTGTCAAGTTTTCCATTAACAGATGATGCTGTACAAGTTTTATCAAAAGGCCTCTCATTTGCTCCGACGCTTCAAACAACAGAATTCAAAACTAAAATGTACTTATTTCGTTTCCATCGCAATTTGCATTTGAGAGCATGGTATGGACGAACAACTCAAATACCGACTGACATGTCAAGAGAGAACCAAGAATCTTCAAGAAATCCCTCTAAGTTTAAACCAAAATCTTACGTTCTGCCTCCAATCCAGAATGCAACCATTAATACCTTTGTCAAAAAGGTCAATTATGATGTAGAATTACTTTTTAAGAAGGATATTAAGGCATCGAAAAAGAACCTAACAAGAAAAGAGCAAGATGCATTGATCTCCTTATCAACTAATAAAGATTTGGTCATTAAGCCAGCAGATAAAGGTGGAGCTGTTGTAATATGGAGTAGAGACTTGTTGTTACGGGGCTGACGAGACGTGAGACTTGCGGATCCATTCGCAGAGCTTTATTAGACACAGACAGAGACGTGGTCATACAGCAGGCATGGGTCAGATGAGGGCAAACAGGTATATGGTGGGCAAAACACAAGAATAGTCCTAGAGCTAGCACAGGTCGACGATCGGCAGACAGAATCAAAAGGGGCAAGACAAAAGGGGTGAATCCAGGGAACCAGGCGAAGATCAGAAACCGGGAAGGCTAAGGCTAAGGCAAATGACTAGGGCTAAGGCTAAGGCAAACGACTAGGGCTAAGACTAAGGCTAAGGCTAAGGCTAAGACAAATGACTAGGGCTAAGGCTAAGGCTAAGGCAAACGACTAGGGCTAAGGCTATGGCTAAGGCTATGACAAACGACTAGGGCTAAGGCTATGGCTAAGGCTAAGGCTAAGGCTATGACAAGGGCTCCGTAAGGTAGCTATCTCTAGGAGAGAGATAAATGCTGAAACAATACTCGGCAGAGGGAAGGGATCAGAGTGAGTGTTAAATAGTGAGGGAGTGATATGAACCAGCTGGGTGCAATCAGTGTAAACAGGTGTGTGCAATTCGTGCTGAGTGCAATCAGTGCAATGCATGATGGGAAATGTAGTCCGGGGTGCTTTGCAACAGTTTGTGTGGTGCGAGAGACAATGAAAAGGAAAGTTCATGGACCGGATTCGTGACACTTGTATATAGAAGAGGCCTATCGACAACTTAAAAATGAGGACTTTTATCAACATCTACGGAATGATCCAACAGAAATTATGAAAAAAGAATTGCTACCTTTATTAACTGATGCAAGAGAAAAGAGCTGGATTATGGATAATGAATTAAAATGTCTCTATGTTAAAAATCCACGCATTGCATGTTTTTATATGTTGCCAAAAATTCACAAAAATTTGAACAAACCTCCTGGACGTCCTATCATTTCTAATAATGGGAGTCTCTTGGAACCATGTTCACAATATATTGATTATTTTATTAAGCCTTTGGTACCCACCCTTCCAGCCTATATTCAGGACACAACAGATGCAATTAAAAAAAAACAAGGATATTGGTTCTGTTGATCCTGCCTCTCTGTTGGTAGTTATGGATGTGGAGGCTTTATATACTAACATCAACCATGATGAGGGCCTTCGAGCCTTAAGATATTACATAACATCTGGATTGATGGATGAGAGTCCTCCAGCAGAATTTATCCTGACACTAACGGAATGGACTTTGAAACATAACGTGTTTGTGTTTGAAGATAACTTTTTCCAACAGGTTAAAGGTATGGCTATGGGAGCATGTTTTGCACCAAATTATGCCAATCTTTTTTTGGGACAGTGGGAGAAGGAGTGTGTGTTTAATGTTATGACTAATCCTTTTTTTACGAAAATAAAATGGTGGACCAGATATATTGATGACATCTGCATGATTTTTGAAGGAGATGAAACCGAATTACAAAATTTTCATGCATTTTTGAATTCCATAAATACATGTATTAAGTTGAGCCTTGAATACAATCAGGAGAAAATACATTTTTTAGACATTTCTATTTATAAAGATCAAGATGGATGTATACATACTTCACTTTTCAGAAAGAATACAGATCGTAACACCATTTTGCACGGAAAGAGCTTTCATCCAAAACATCTGACAGAAAGCATTCCACTGGGTCAATTCCAAAGATTAAAACGGATATGTGATCAAGACTCTGAATTTCATCGTCTGGCTATGGACATGAATTATCGTTTTAAAGAAAAGAGTGGTCGATCAGGCTTTGAATAAAGTGTCACCACTACAACAGGATGACCTACTCAACAAGAAAAGCAAGAAGAACAGCTCCACACAACCATATTTTGTTATGGAATTCAGTACTGTCTCACATGACATCATGCGTATAATAAAAAGGAACTGGGGGATTATCCAAAGTGATCCAAGTCTACGTGAGATTTTTCAGGAGCCTCCAATTGTGAGCTATAGAAAGGCTCCTACAATTAAAGACAGAGTTGTGAGAAGTCACTTGCCTGCTATGAAACAGACAACATGGTTGGACAGAGGAATACGAGGCATGTTTAAGTGTGGACATTGCAATCATTGTGAGAATGTAATTCAAACTAAATCATTTATGGATGTTTGCACAAAGAAACTGTATTTAACTGGATCCTTCATTAATGGTAAAAGTACGCATGTAATTTATAGGCTTCAATGTCCTTGTAACTGTCTCTACGTGGGTCAGACTAAACGTAGACTGAAAGATAGATTATGGGATCACAAAAATGCAATTCGTACAAGAAACAAAGATTACCCCATGGCAGTACATTATGCATCTACACATGACTCAAATTAGTCTACTTTAAGAATTATTGATTTGGAAATTGTAACTGGATCGATTAGAAAGGGTGATAGATTACAAAGACTTCTACAAAGGGAAGCCTTTTGGATTTTTCAGCTAAAAGCCACCATTTTTCCTGGTTTGAATGAGGAATTAGATTTAACTCCATATTTGTGAAATGATTATCAGTACAATCATTATTATTATTATCAAGATATATATCTATATATATAATGTTTTTTTGTTTTTGTTTTTGTACATGTGATTATATTTCGAAATTGTTAATGATGCTATTGGTCCCCCCTGTAATGAGTATTTTGGTTTCTCCCATTTCTATTGAGCAACTGATTATATCTACACCTGTGACTAATTTTGTACTTGACACACTCTGAGGAAGGCTGGATGGCCGAAATGCATCAGTGTGCAAGTGTTCTAGTCATTTTTAATGTTTCTAGAGTGAGCCATGTTTAAATAAAGGCTTTTTAACATTTTGGAACTGGAAGAAGTGCCTTGGATCCGTAGTTTAATTAGATACAAATATAGTTTATGAATAAAAATGAAGCAGAATTCAGAGCATCTTCCTACAAATTGAACATGAGCTGCGATTGAACGGGATTTTTTTTTTCTTTTCTGATCTCTTGGATTGTGGATTGAATAAAAATGAAAATGGTGCTTTGTTTTCCACCAGTAAACGCGTGGCATACCTTCCCACTAGATCACTAAACCCCGCCCTTGAGACTGATTGACAGCTGACTGTGATACGCATTGGACATGCAAGTGCGAAGGGGATTGTGATTCCATTGAATTTTGTGCGGGTTGGAGGACGCAGAGAAAGTGAAACACCAAATGGTGATTTTCTATTGCTGTTCCAAAAAGACAGAATCATAACTCTTAAGACCTTGGAACCGCAATTGCAAGTGGACGTTGCGTTTCTATTTAAAATTTGACAGACATATTACATAAATGGAAAAGAAAATGGAAACACAAATGCGCAATTTGCAATTGAATTTGGATTATGTCACAATGTATGCGTCCACAAATTGAAAACGCAATACAATTGCAAATACAATTTTCACAGCAGTTTTCTTTTTGCTTCTTTTTTCTGGTTGGCAAATACAATTTGCAACTCCTTTTGAATTGTGTCCTAAATATCATTCCAATAGTACCTCTCATTTTGTCATCTGAATAGAAATAAAACAGACAATTGTCTCTTCAGAAAGGTTCAGATTTACATGTACATAACACATGATAAGCAAGTTCATGTAAACTTGCAGACACTTGAAATAAAGCAAGTGTAAACATAAAAATCATTGTGTATTCAGCGTCAGCAAGGTATCACCTTTAACTCTCAGCTGACTTTGGTTGATTGTGTCACTTGATGATCATATTACATTACAGAGAGAGCATTGTGTCAGTGTCAAAACCAGGTTTCTCTTTAAAGAATCTATTGTTTTTTTCACATGTTGTTGAAAACACTCAAAGCAGCTTTGAAATTGGATGCTGATCTCTCAGATGGCTCGTTCTTTTCTCAGTGAACTCTCTGGGGATCAGCGATGAGCTCAAGCAAAAGCTACAGGATGTAATGGTGGACAGACACAAGCTAACGTTGGGAAAAACACTTGGGGAAGGTGAGCGTTACGTAACTGCCGTAGGGAACCACGTGCTGTATTGTCTGGACTGAATGGGATGTGTGTGTGTGTCTGTGCGTGCGTGTGTGTGTGTAGGTGAGTTCGGCTCTGTGATGGAGGGTTCGCTCACTCAGGAGGACTCTGTGCTCAAAGTGGCAGTGAAGACCATGAAAAGTGAGTCAAAAGTGACTGCAGCATATCTGAAAACACCTGTGATCATTCTCATAAGACTAACCTCATCCTCCTGCTGTGTTTTGCTCAGTTGCCATCTGCACTCGCACTGAAATGGAAGATTTCCTGAGAGAGGCGGCGTGCATGAAGGAGTTCGATCATCAGAACGTCATGCGGCTTCTTGGTAAGTATGTTCACTCTTTCAGTCTCCCGGCAAAAAAAAACGACAAGAAAGTTTTACTTTCATTAACATGAAATTCTCCTCCATCTCGACAAATACAGTAACAGGAGGCCAGTCACATGGTCTAACACTTCAGGAAACACATTAACACAGTATATTAATACACAGAATTATTGAAGTGCATCGTATTCAGTAGCTGAGAATATTTTAATCACAGAAATAAGGACATGAAAGAAGTTGCAGCAGACTTGAATGAGCTCAGAATAAAAACAGACATCAGCAATTCAATATTTTGACCAGTGCCTCTTCACATGAATTACATCTTCAGAGTAAAACTGAATATCCAGTAAGAACTAGTGTGAGACAGGCTGGATGAGCGTGATGGTTTGTGTTGTGTGACAGGTGTGTGTCTGCAGACGGTGGAGAGTGAAGGCTATCCGTCTCCTGTCGTCATTCTTCCCTACATGAAGCACGGCGACCTCCACAGCTACCTGCTGTACTCCAGACTTGGAGACGCACCTGTGGTGAGTGCACTGAAAAGCTCTGAGGGGATCGGGCAAATAAAAACGATATATGGCAAACTGCATTAAGATGTAGATCAGAAGAGTGCTTTAGCATCGATTAAGAGATTAAAAGAGAGGCAGTTCACCCGGAAATGAAAGGTCTGTAATCATTTGTTCACCCTTATGTCATTCCAAACCTGTGACTTTCTTTCAGAAAAGATGTTCATGATCATGCTCTTTTTCATAAAATGAAAACATAAATAAAAATGTTCATACTAACTAAATAAAGAAATAAATATGTTGGAACCACATCAATGTGAGTAAATTTAGTTTTTGGGTGAACAATTCCTTTAAATAATAATGTATTTATCTGAATAAAAAAAAAATCTGAATCTGTGAAAAAAAAGTTTAATATTTTGGATGTTATGCACAAATTTGAAAAAGTGTCTCATACAGACACAGCTTGTCCTATCTGGCACAAGCATTTCTCTCTAAAAGAAGTCTTTTTAACAAACATTACACCATCGCTGCTAAATGTAAACACTGGAGGAAAGCAAGGCCGTTCTCTCTGATGCAATCGCAGTGAATGATTCTGTCAAGATCTAATTGATGACTGGTTTGTTTTGTGGCTAGATGCACATTCTCATGGTCAGAGTTGTGAAACTCCTTTGTAATCATAAATGAAGTTCCTCTAAAGCACGGACGTCAGGCACAGTGCATTCTCTCAGGAACATGTTGTACCGCAGAAGTGTTTTTAAAAGCCCACTGGTCTATGATTTCTGTTATTGTCTGTGGTCAGAGCAGAATCTGGGAAAGTCTCTGGCTCCACCTATCTGTCAAAGCAAGAACAAGAAAAAAACTTTCACTTACTAATGTTACATTACATTGAAAAAAATCATTGATGTTTTAAATATTTGGATTATCTCTGTCTCTTTCGTGTAGTATCTGCCCTCTCAGATGCTAGTGAAGTTCATGACAGATATCGCCAGAGGAATGGAGTACCTGAGCAGAAAAAACTTCATTCACAGAGACCTGGCAGCTCGAAACTGCATGTGAGTGCTGATGGAAACAAACACACAGCTCATGTGCTTCGTACACTGCTGCTTAATACAGAAATCTCCATACTATATTGATTTGAGTGTTTTATTTGATCTCTGGTAACCAGGTTAAATGAGAACATGAATGTGTGTGTGGCTGACTTTGGCTTGTCGAAGAAGATCTATAACGGAGACTACTACAGACAAGGGCGCATCTCTAAGATGCCTGTCAAGTGGATCGCCATCGAGAGTCTGGCGGACAGAGTGTACACTACTAAAAGTGACGTGGTAATTCATCCTCGATTTGATAAACAATGATAAAGAACAGATTCATAGCATTCCAGAGCTAGAACAAGCGTAGCAGTGGACGTGTTTCTGATCCCTATTCACACTAGAGCATTAAAAATATTTACAATGTAGAGAGAGATTCATAATTGACATTAAAATACATGTGCCTGGTCTTTTTGAGAATGATGCATCGGTGCACATTATTCCAAAGCTATCAAAATGTAATAATTTGTTAGACCTCTGTAACTTAATCTATTGTTTTACAGTAGTGAGTATCATTTACTGCTCTCTTTCTGAGCGTTCATATAGTTTATGAAGGTGCATTTGTCTGTCCTGCAGTGGTCATTTGGAGTGACAATGTGGGAGATCGCGACTCGAGGTCAGACACCGTACCCTGGAGTGGAAAACAGTGAAATCTATGATTATCTGAGGCAGGGCAACCGTCTGAAACAGCCTCCAGACTGCCTCGACAGCATGTGAGTTTGCCTTTCAAAAACCTGCATGGCTTTTCACACTGTGCTTGGACCTGGCTTAACATATATTTAACCTCTGGTTAACACTACATTCATCCTCAGCTTAAGCTTTGCTTTAAAGGAAGTAGCACTGCTGGGTTATGAATGCGTATAGAAGGAACCAATGCAGTGCTAGAATCAACAAAACTTTGACTGATGTGATTGTCATGTGGTGGTTATTGCTGTGTCACTGAAACAGCAACAAAGTGAAGGCTTTTGTTATTTATTTGACAATATTTGTTATTTGATCATTTATTTATTTATTTGATAATAGAGATATTAAAATAGAGTATGAAGCAGAAAGGTTATGTTATTTATTTATATCTTGTGGCTATACTATTCAGATAGTGATCATTTTTATGAGAATTGGCCCCATTTACTTGTAAACGCCTCACTGTAAAGCAGATATTTCATGATCAAAAAATAAAAATAAAATGGTGATGATCAAAATTGTCACAAATGCTGTTGACTGAAATTAACTTCCAAACTGGTTTTACAGACACTTTTACCAGTGGTCAGCCATTCAGACTGCAAACTCAAAATCTTTTTATTTTGTGACACTACTGAATAGAAGTGCAAGTAACACCATCTGTATTTTAGTATGGTGTCCTATTCAGTATGTTATTTAAAAACCTGGAAACGGTACTGAATAAAATCCAGCTCTGGATTCCCAGCCCTACATGTGTCTGTATTACAGCCAAACCAGAGCATTGTCTGAAGAAAAGACTGTTATTTTTTGTGTGAAAAACATCACAACATCACAGCCAATCATGAGACAAGCAGTGCTTGACATTCTTGCCATCTGTGTGTTTTCACAGCTATTCCCTGATGTTTTCCTGCTGGCTGCTGAGCCCGAAGGACAGGCCGAGCTTTGAGATCTTGTGCTGCGAGCTCGAGAAGGTCCTGGAAGATCTTCCGAGCCAAGACCCAGATGAGATACTCTATGTCAATATGGAGGAGACCTCCGGAGAGCTGGGGGCCGTGGGGGGCTGGGACCCCATAATGGGGGTCCCGTGTGCTCTCGGGGCCCTGAAGGGTTCGGGCTCAGTGGCCACTGTAGAAGTCCACCACCCCAACCGCTACGTGATCTGCCCCCAGCATGAGAACCAGCGCCTCCTCAACGCCGACTCCATGGAGAGTCTGACCCTGACGGGGCCCGTGCCTTCCTCCTGCTCTACCCCAGTGCCCTCTGAAGGGCCGTCCCCGGAGGACAGAGACGAGAAGAAGAGAGTGCCACGGCTGACAGGGACCTAGACTGCCTGGTGGACTGCCGAGCTATCATTTTGCACAGACACGCCAGACATTCAGTGTTTAAAGTGAATTGTCTTTTTTATGCTTTTCAGACAAACATGCTTCCTTTTCATTCCAAATTGTCCTTTATGTTCAGCCTGTGTCATGAGAAATCAGTTTCCAGCGATAAGTAATTTGTCAAGTGATTTGCGCAGCATCAACCCATATTGCAGATCATTGGTGTTTTGAATGATGTTTGCTTACTGTTGCTCATACATGCAGGGATTCATACTTACTGAACGATTTTAGCCCGAAACTGCATCGTGTCCTGCGGTGTGAAATCTATTTTGACTGGAAAATTACATCAGCGATGACCTACAGCCAATGAGAGAGCAAGATACAGGGCAGCGGGAAGTTCAGGGGGAGGAGTCATAGACCTGTGACAGAGCACGCATAGCTTCTGCAAGCCACCATTGCCTGTTCAGGTTTTTTTTTTTTTTTTACTGCAAACCAGCATACAGACTTGTATCGCAAGCTTCTTGTGGGCTACAGTTTCTAACAGGAAGAGATCCAGGCTGGCGCGAGAACTGTCTCACAGGCAGCCTTACATTATTTCCTGTATCACTTCTCGCGAGGGTTCAGTTGTGAAATGTAGTTTGTAGACCAGAGTTGTCACCTGAAAGGTTGTGTAATGAATGAACCTCTGTCGTGTCGTGTGCACACAACAGCAACTAGACTGAACAGAAATCCAGCTACTCGTGCAAAATCATGCAGGGTGTTCCCGGCATTAGTGTTAGTGATCTGAATAACCCCATACCTCTGTGTTTTACACTTTGGGGATGGACATGAATGACCCCTTAAATTATACGGCTTGTTTAGGAGATGTATTACTTTTTAAAGACATTTAGTTTATAAAAACGTAAGAGACATGGGAGTGGGCTTGTCTTTTCTTTTTTTTTTTAATTAGTCCAGAAAGCAAGCACCAAGAACACCATAGTAAACGCATGGCATTGCCTTAAGAACTACTGCACACTCTTTAAAAATGCTTCCTAATAGGGTGTTTTCACAGTGATGCAATAGAAGAAATTTTGGGTTTCCAAAGAACCTTTCAGTGATCAGTTCTTAAAAGAACCGTTTTTGTCTTAGATTGAAGAACATTTTTAATAATCTGAAGAATCTTTTTCCACTATAAAGACTGTTTTGTTCAATGGAAAGATTCCATGGATTTTAAAGGTTCTTAATGGAACCGTCAATGCCTAAAAATAACCTCCTTTTTAAGAGTGTGTGTGCAGTGGCAGGGCTACGGAAGTTGATCAACAAATCAAATATCTTCTTGCATGCTTTTAGAGTTAAAACCCTTGTTCCAGAAAATCAGCACACCTGCAGTCTTATGAGACTGATATCAGTCGGCTGGAATCTGACCAGTTAAAGACCCTGTTCTGTAAGCTCTAAGTTCAAAGTAAAGTTAGCTTTCTGCTGATATTCACACAATATGCTCATCATCAACTCAGGAGATGCTTGGATTTACAATGACCAATGACACAAAGGTCAGATCAAGCGAATGCTGCAAACTAGCTTGACACTGCCAGTCTCTAGAATGGGACAGAACTGGTCAAAGTCTGAATCTGTTTCTGTTCTCTAAGGCATCTTACTCTCTCAAGTCTCCTGTCCAGCGGCTTTATCCAAAGAAACACATGGAGGATGACGATGGTATTCTGTGTTAGGTCTAACATGTCAAACCAAATCCTCAATGACCATGTGTTTGACCTACACACACACTCTAGCTAACCTCCAGGTGTATGCGTACATTTTTATAACTCTGTTTCTGAGGTTTTCTGAATCAACAGGGCTTTTTTAACATTGATTTGAGACCAATTTTGTGGTTTCTTTTAAGGTTTAGAGGAGTAGAAAGGGCAGTAGACTAGACTAAGCTGTGAAAGGCTACACATTCAACAGGTCTTTGCTCATCAGAGGCGCTGCCCCAGACTCAAGCACAGTATTTTTTTTCCCTTGGTTTTTTTGTACATTTTATATTTTGCACTAATCATTTTTGTCATTGTATTGTGTGTATTTCTTTGTTTATGCATTTTGTTTATCTGACATGGACTTGTAGACAATGTAATGATGTACATTTACCATAATATTATCATGTGATAATATAAAAAAGGGCTGTTTCAAAATAAGTTCAAATACAGATGATTGTTATTTTGCAATTCTTTTAAAATAGTTTAGAATGCCAAATATGGAAATTTGTTCAAATAATTTCTTCCAATACAGCCTTTAATATAATCTGAAATTTAAATAACTGAAATAGACGCTCTGAAGCAAAATAATTTTACATCATAGAACCAATGTTTGGAAAATATTTGGTATGGTCTTTTTTTCACTGTAATGTGGTACTAAGCTTGACTGAGGTACATGAATATACGACAGATGTAACTGTAAATTATAATTCTGTTGAGCCGCAATGCTTTAGATACATATAACATTGGATGACAAACATTTGACATTTACTATATAATTGTATATAAATTATATTCATGTGTACCAGTGCTCAGTTAGAATCATCTGTGATGAACGTTTCTGCTCTCTGCACACATGAAAGATTGAAGGCCAAAATTAACATAACAGCCCCCCTGCAAAATGTTGGTCACTCACCGGGTGTATATATTTTCATGCTCACATTTTCAGCACATTTTTCAATCACTGTCTTTCATGATGAGAAACTCTGTGTGTTTAAATATGCGGATTTGAAGTGTCTCCGCTGACCTCAGTTGAACAGGACAAATTCAGCTGCACCAATTTTGCATGTGATATTTCAGTGCGAAAACCTGCATCTTCTATATGTAACATTACAAATTATTTTGCCTGACAGTAAATCAGCCAGTGATGATCAAATGATGGAGAAGAGCGTTATAATTCATCCAGGTGTGCAGTGTAATAAAGCTATTAATTTAAAGCAAACTTGTGCATTCTCTATTGACAGAAGTACAAATATCATTTTATCAACTTATGAATTCATAGACAGAAGCACACTCCAAAGTGCCTTTGAAAGCCAGTATTTGCCTTAAAATGGCTTGGTTTATGGTGCACTAGTGTTTAGCTTTAGGTTTATATGTCTAATGTTGTCTTGATAACATCAATGTCATTATTGTGATTTTGATATGCTTTGTATTAAAATAAATACTACCTGCACAATTGATGATTTTTTTTCCTGTGTGATGTGTTGTTATAAAGATTGCAATTAAATGTTACTTTAAAAAAAGAGACTAAATTTGGCCTTGATCTTGAGTGAACTCAATGACAAAATTTTGTACACACCTCGTTTGTAAAGTAAATGAATAGCTGACCTAATGAATATAGAAAAACAGAAAGGACTAGAATTTTAAAGACAAAAGATTATACAGAATAAAGATTCTGAACGTATATTTCTATTTCACATATCAGATTTGGTGCATGCTGTTATTGAAGCAAAAGGCAAGTACACCAAATACTAAAAAAAAAACAAAAAAAAAACAAGAAAAATAACTGAACTGCAAGATTTACAACCAAAACAGAGGAAAGCCAGGTGAGACCAACTAAAGTCCATAAAACAGAACCTAACCGTGACAGTTTCTCTGTGCAACTGTGGTGCATCAGTATATTACAAAATCATACATTACTGGTTTTGAAGAATGAACTAAGAATAAATGTTTAGAATACATAACTGAGCATATATGTACTATAGTTACATGCACACACACGCACACACACACACACAGGTTTGTTTTTGTGAAAAGTGGGGACATCCCATAGGTGTAATGGTTTTTATACTGTACAGACCGTATATTCTATTGCCCTACACCAACACTACCCCTAAACCTACCCCTCACAGGAGACTTTCTGCTATTTCAGATTTTCAATACACTCCATTCTGTGTGATTTATAAGCGTTTTGAAAAGTGGGGACATGGGGTAATGTCCTGAAAAGTCTGCAATTTATTTACATGAAAAGTATTTACATTTCAAATTTATTAAGACATTAGTGTTTTTATATATATATATAAAAACACTAATGTCTTAATAAATTTGAAATGTAAATACTTGAACTACTGAATATAAGACAAATGCATTTGTGTCTCTTATTGTCATTTTTCTGTTCTGCTCTAAATCAGTTCCCTTTCATGGGAACTTCAAACTGCGTCCTCTAGGGGTCGCTATGGGGAATGCCTCGTCGTGACCCGTGTCTGAAGCATACATTGAAAAAACACCAACTCGTTGGCCGGCGACAGCCATGACGTCACTACCGGTGCGACTATAGTATAAATAGGCGCCCGGGAGTACACATCATTCTCATTATGGCGAGCACTAGCAAAGCGTTTAAGGATGTGTGCATCCGTGTTGACGTTGTTTAACATCTGATGACACACACGATCTATGCGTTATTTGTTTGGGCGAAGAGCACGCACGCGATGCCTCCGAGGGGGCAATCGGCGTGCACTTCAAGCGTTTTTTCCAAGGCAAAAACCTCCGCTCTCGTTTGTCTCTCTTTTCGAGGAAAAAGGGGCAGCCATCTGCTTCCTGCGATTCAGGACCCGCCGCTGCTGAGGCACGGAAGGGAATGAGCTCGTGGGGATCGCACGTGGATCTGGCCGATGAGTTTGAAGAGGGGTTTCCCTTTCGCGATCGTCGGCTGTGCACGAGAGTGAGCCGCTGGAGGATGATGTTATTTCATTAGCATTGTCTGATTCAGGGGCCAGTGCTCTGCTGGGATCAGCCCAGCAAAAGCAGGAAATGTCTGAGGAGGGCAAAGAAGCTGAGGCTGAGCCTTCCCAATCCTCCTGCCCTGCGTATGATGAGCTTTTGGAAATTATGGATCGCACCACGGCGAGGCTTTACTGGCTGTGAAGCAGGTGAAGAAAGTGACGTTGCGAAGTAAGGGAAATTTTCCTGCATTATAGTCTCCTATGCTGGACCTATTAGGTTTGGTTGGTTCTATGGCTTCATAGTGACCATCTTACTGATGGTCCGGTCTAGAGGCTTCTTCGGACAGAGCTCCGACGCGGGAACCATGGTGGGTGAGTACGATCCATGTCTAAATATATGTATATATAAATATATATGTGTGTATCTATGAGATGGTGGTTGTGTGTATAACCCTTCTGCTAGTTTCTTGCAGTGTTTCCCGGGACCTGTGTGTTTCTGTCCCTTTCTAGGGTAGGTTCTTGATGGGCACCCCCTCTGCTGGGTTCAGAAACTGGGTGCTCGACTTGGAGTGTTTATTTCACTCGTCGATATATGTCCAGGCGGTAAGAAAAGCCGGGTTTCGGCTTCATACTTCCTGGATCATGCGGCCATAACACAGACTTCTGCGGGAGCCTTCATGATCATCAGGCCCCCGGCGCGTCACTGCAAAAATTTCCTGGACGTCCGGGCTGGGGTTAC